CAACTTTGGAGACCCTTTTCCAGGGTTAAAAAGTCATCTTATATGCCAAAAAATATGGTATTCTGATGACACCATAATACTAGCAGAAAACCTCACAGACCTTGAACAATTTCTAAGAAAGATCAAAGAAGAAAGTGCAGAGGCAGGCTTACTGTTGAAAATAAAGAAAACAAAAATAATGACCTACAGAGAACTTACACACATTCAAATTAGACAATGAGGAAATAGAAATAGTAAAAGAGTTCTCATATCTGGGATCAAACATTGATCAGAATGAGGACTGCAGCTAGGAAATCAGGAGAAGACTAAGAATCAGGAGGGTGGCTATGAAAGATCTAGAAAAGTTCCTAAAATGCAAAGACACACAATTCAGCACACAAGTCAGAATCATACAAGCCATTGTATTCCCTATTACCATGTATGGATGTGAGAGCTAGACAGTCAAGAAAGAAGATAGGAAGAAAATCAATGCCTTTGAGTTGTGGTGCTGGAGAAGAATGCTGAGAATCCCATGGATAGCCAAAAAGACATAGAAATGGGTCCTAGAGCAGATCAAGCTGGAAACCTCCCTGGGAGCTAAGATGACAAAACTGAGGCTGTCATACTTTGGGCATATCATGAGAAGGAAGGACTCATTGGAAAAGACAATAATGCTGGGAAAGGTGGAGGGAAGTAGGAAGAGAGGAAGGCCACATGCCAGATGGATGGATTCTATTAAGGAGGTCACGGGTATTAAGGGGTTGCAGGAATTAAGCAGAGAAGTGGAGGACAGAGGGTCTTGGAGATGTCTCATCCATAGGGTTACCATGAGTTGAGATCGACTCGAGGGCAGTTAACAAAAATAATACATACATATAATAGTGTATGACACCTAGTGAGCTTTGAGATCATTTTGATGAAGATGGCCAACTTCTACTAGGTGGTAGCAGAAAAGAATAGAAAAGTTTAAAAGTATGAACACATTTTATATATTTTCCTTTATACAGTAAGAAAATAGTTACTAATCCTATAAGGTCAAAATAGATTGCACCTACAGAGACTGTGCTTTATTGTCTTACCATAAATGTACACTTTTCCAGTCACACATATGCATGATCATACATATGAAGAAGGAATCTTTTTTTCCCCTTTCCAGTAAAAAATGTAGTATCCTATTTGCATTGCATTGTTTGATTCTCTGCTGGAATTTTCTTGATTTTCAAGACAGTTTCCCTTCTATTATTTCTCTGTTCCATTCTTATAAATATTCATAGAATCATAGAATCATAGAGTTGGAAAAGACCACATACCTCCCAGGACATCTTGTCAGGCCCACAAACCACTGCTTCTGTATCCCTCAATAAGGAATCCCCACCACCACCAC